TCTTAGAGAAGAAGCCAAACACAAATATGTTTCAGCCGCCTTTCAAGCCTGCAGGGGTTGAGCCCTTGACGCTCTAAAGATAGATTGTGTGTGAAGTACTTTAAGGCAGCGAACCATACACAAACAAGGTTGCAAAAACATTCATGAATTTATTAAGTAGATTAACAATCCAATCGTTATGCTTGAGATTGCATTTTATGTTATTTCATTTGACATATTGCTGCACCATAAACACTGCATCATTATGCTTTATGTCTTCAAAGACTTTGTGAACTCTCATCAAAATCTACTTTAAGCCAAGAGACAATGTGCTTGGAAACTGGCACCACTGCAGACAGAAAAATGAATCAAGCACTTCCACTCGCATTACATTGACATTAAAGCCCCTGTCACACTGTCCCGAAATTGACACCCGATGGACACACGATAAACGAAATGTTCAAATTCGGCTGTGATCGTAGCAACATCGGGCCATTCGTGAGGGCATCTAAGCCATCGTATGACCGCCGGTGGAGTTTCTCAGGCTCCGGCAGCAACTTCGTGAGCGGCAACTTCGTAAGGCACTCGTGAGGGCATAACAAGATGCCCTCACGATGGCCTTACGAAGGGCAAAATGGACACACAAATTCAACACGAAAATGAACCTTCGCAAGGTCCTTCGGCAATTTTTTGGCATGCCAAAGATTTTGCCACCGCTCACGAAGTTGCTGCCGGAGCCTGAGAAACTCCACCAGCGATCATACGATGGCTTAAGATGCCCTCACGAATGGCCCGATGTTGTTACGATCACAGCCGAATTTAAACATTTCCTTTATCGTGTGTCCATAGGGTTGTTTTATTGCACAACAAAATCATGTAAACAACCCAATTTGTGTTCTGTGAAACTAAAAAGGATATAATATATTATTTTGAAGGCGAGTTGACAGAAAGTTGTTGTTGCTATGGAAACAACATGACGGAGAAAACTTAATATCTTCTACATATAAAGACGGATAAAGTAAAGAACAAAGTCTGAAAATATCAGTACTGTATCATAGTAGGCTACTTTAACATAATTATTTGTGTTACTTTCATTGCAGTTGTATGTCTTAAATGTAATGTAAATGTTGCCTTCGTGTGTGGTTCGGGGCCATCTTCGTGCGAAATTCACAATTCCATATTCGTGTGTCCATCGGGTGTACATTTCGGGACAGTGTGACAGGGGCTTAAAGGTATTTAGCTCTTGCTTTTATCCAAGGCTAATTATGATGAGGGCAGTGAAAATTAGCACAGGCTGATGATAGATCCAATACTGTATACTGTAATGTGGGACCTCTTCTCTGAAAGAACAAATTTAGAAAAATAACAGCTATATCAGATTCAGACAGAAGCGTTCTCGAAGAAGATTTGGCACGAAAAGGGGTGTGAAACAAGTGGGAGTACAGGATGTGAGGCATTTCTTGAGGAGATGAGTCTTTAAGTTTACAAGGAAAGGGAGTTGTTATGCTGTCCTGACTTAAAATGTTCGATTACTCTGGAGTCAGGGGGACTGGACTGGAGGGAGTGAGGACCTGACTTCTAATAACACAAAGTTGAACAAAAGTGGTGGAGTGGTGATTGGATTTGTTTTTTCCGCAGTGTTGGTAGAGTGTGCTACTACCCCAAAATGATGTAGACAGACGTTTTGTAAACCTCATTTTCTATTTACAACAGTTTGACAGCACACAGGGAGAGACTCTCATCCAGATCAGCCACCATCTTGCAGTAAAATGTTTTTTTGTTGTAGTTGCTGTTGAGCCGTGCTTTCCGCTTCAGCAGCGCATTTGAACAAAAGATGTTGTCTTATGCATGCAAATTAGATGGTGTTTTGTTGCCACTATATAAATTGTTGTATTCTGAATGGAATAACAATACATCCGCCCAAAGTAATGGAAGAATCAGACTTCTGTGTTGACAGTAATGACCCATTCCTTGTGATTAATATGGAAAAAGGCAGCATGCAATTAGTGGTCAACTGCAGGGGGGCGTCACACAGGCAGACATCTTAAGGCATTTGTTTCATTGTCTGAAGAGAAAGTTGACACTGAAGAATTAAGTTTTCACATGTGCTTTAATTGACTTTTAGAAAATGATGGCAGTAATTCCAATGTTTCACTGCCCTGTTTTCAGCTTTGAGAGCTCTTCAAAGTCATGTGTTGAGTTGTGTTCGGAGGGATTAGACTGCAACTGATTATATTTGTTGTCAAGTAATCTGCAGAATTATATGCAAGCTGTCAGCAATACTCAAGGAATGGCAATGTGGGTCGCTCCACCACTTTGGTCCAAACTTAAATATCTCGACTGTTTGATGGATGCTCATTACATTTTAGGTGCACAAATTCATGTTCCCTTCAGGATGTTTAATAACAACTTTGGTTAGTTCATAACTCATCTAGTTCAGAATTTTTCAAAGTCAGTTTCAGGCGATGCTCAGTGAATGTTTTTACATTAGTTGATACATTTATCATAAGGAGATCACATAGAATATCCCAACCTAAACGGAAACAACTTCCAACTTCTCACACAGTTAAAACTAAAGTTCTTTAAAAAAATAATATGATGTTTCTAAGAACAATCATTTCAATATAACAGGTTTAAAGGTTGACAAGGTGAAAAGAAACACCTGTCTGACTTCAGTAAGTGCAATATAAAGTAATGTGAAAATCACATCACACACATTTTTTATTTTAGAGCATAGCAAAAAAAAGAAAATACTTGACTTTTCGTGCAGGATTTGCTCATCTTCTATTTGAATAAGTCACCAAAGTACTGGCAAAATAAACTACACTGTACATGTCTGTCAATTTAAGCAAAGGTCTTCCTCATTCGGGTTGGTTGGAAAGTATTACTACTGTAATAATGTATTACTGTATTTACTTCCATCCTTCTCTATATCTCCCTAAATCACATCACCTTGTTGGGCAGCTAGATTTTCATTAACATAGCTACCACGGTGGAGAGTTGGCTGCTTTTCAAATCACATACTTTTGCTTTTAGTCATTTCTGCAGCTGCTGTTCTAAAGTACCGGATGCATAATACATTTGACATACTGTGTATGGGACATACAAAATCCTTTTTCTATATGTAGGTATGGTTGAACTCTGTATACATCCTAGCGCCCAACCTTCACTCAATAATCTGGAGTTTCATTGTGACGCCAGGACACCACCGCAGCTGCAGAAACGGACCAGTTTCTTTCAAAGCCATTTCATTTAAATACCACTTTAATTCAATACTTCTTACAGAATATCTACTCAGACTAAGATGGCAAGCTCCATTCTTTGTGCATCTTGAATTTCAGGGAATAAATTATACAAGATGTTCCTTTTAGAACTTCACAGTCTGAGTTGTTATATTGATTGATTTTTATCAATGGCCTCTCAGAGACATCTCCCTGTATGAAAGCTGCCCATGTTGAGCCTGTCCTGCTGCGTGATCACAGCGCATACCCTTGAACCGATGTAAATGTGTGTAATTATTATCTATTTATGGAACCTCCAACAGGGTCAGGGTTTTGTGTTGCAAAATCCTTTCAAAAACACCTTTTGAATATATGTTTTGTGTACCTTTATGATAAAAAGACTGAGAATGCAACCTTTTCTTAAATAGCTTGGTGACAACAAACAGGTTATGGCTGCAGAGTTAATGTTGCAATGACGTCTTCAGTTTGTGTCCCACCATCCTTAATGATGCCCATCCGCACCAAACACTGTATATGTTCTTATACTGTTTTATGTTGTTGATAGAAATGGAAATGATCAAAACAACACACAAGGGTGTCAGCTGCACCATTTGGTGTTGCAAAGCAGCACAGCGTGATGATTTTGAACCTTTTCGTACTGAAGCACCGGGTGTCCTGCAGTGATGTTAAGCTCAGCACATTTAAGTGGTTTATGAGGATCCTCCACACGCTCTGGTAGTGACATCTCCTTTGATGACCCCATACAAATGTGAGATTGTAAACAGAGGAGCACATCTTCACTGCTTCTGCTGAGTCTTTCAATTGCTCTGCGATACCATTCACATTCTTCAGATAGCAATCAGCAGCATTAATACAAATTCATTCATTTCCAAATTAATTTCCCTGAAATCTGTGATTCTCAAATAGTTCTCCTCAAAGTTTTTTGAATGAAGAAACTTTTTATACTTTATGGAGAGTATTTATTGTCCCCACTACTGGATAGAGGTATCGCAGTCGGAAAGGTTTGCAGAGATCCCTGCACCGGGGCCTGCAGCCTCCCAGAGGTCTTCATTATAAGAGGTGTAAGTGCCACTGGCTTCTAGTCATCAAGGACTCGGGCTGCTCCTCCCGGGCCCCGGGGCCATTAATGTTTCGCACCACGGAGACTCCCTCCTCACAGTCGAGGGTACAGTACGCAGCAGAGGTGATGATGAAGGGCCTCTGCCTGTTGACCAGAACGTGCTTGAAGCAACCTAGAAGTGATCGTGGCTCGCTGCACTGACTGTGTGTGCTGCTCCCAAACAGAGCCACAGTACAGTCTGTTTGTACATCTGATGGTATCATCAGAACAGAGAGTATTGCTCTCAAAAGAGAAATAATAGACAGTGGAAATAAGGGCTCATTATAATTGATCATCAAGTTAATAAATCAGTAGTATAATTGTGTGTTGATAATATATATATATATAAATATATATAAATATATATATATATATATATATATATATATATAAATATATATATATATATATATATAAATAAATATATATATATATATATATAAATAAATATATATATATATATATATATATATATATACACAGTATGTAATGGCAAAATAAGGAACATTATTTCAGTGCAGACGGCCTATAACGTTTAACTAGCATGAACATGTATGTAACTTCAACATCTGTGCAGCCTTTGGTACAGCTGTCTAATTTTTGTAATATTTAAATTACCTAAATTGCCGGCTGTGACTGTAAATAATTGAATTTTGTATTTTCTTTGTGAAAAACCCCAGGTGTGGCAGTGTGGCGGCAGTGTTGAGGTCCTCCCTTGCGCTCGTATCGCCCACATAGAGCGCGCTCACAAACCATACACGGATGATCTGACGTCTCACGTGCGGCGAAACGCTCTCAGAGTGGCAGAGGTTTGGATGGATGAGTTTAAAAGCCATGTCTACATGGCCTGGAACATTCCTGTGGAGGTAAGCCAATCATGTATTTTTAAACAAATGCAAGTCACAGATCTTAAGTCTGACATTTGATGAGTTGGTGAATTTGAAGTTGTATTCACAGTACCACATTGTCCATGTCACTGGCCAAAATCTGTGTGTAGTCCCCTTCATAACCAATGCGTACATGCTTTGGTTATGAAGGGGACTACAGGGTGAAATCTAATGATGTTGAATAACATCACTAATATTATTCATTAACAATCATAAGCATTTGCACAAACATTCACAATTTCAAATTGTATTAAATGTTTTCAAAGTGACTCTAAAGTATAATAAGCTTCTCATTTGGATTTGACGTTCTTTATTAATTGTGTGTAATTCGGTCTTTACTAGATTGGTAATAAAAAATATATTTTGACAGGAAACGTAGAGAGATGTTGAAGTTATTTTAAATGGGACTAATAATTCCAGCGGTATTTGCCATTCTTTAGTAATGAAAGAGTATTCTGCTCATTACCAAAGGAACATTTTAAATGCAGTTTATTCTGGGACAAGGAACATAAAATCTTATTTATCACATTAAACCTATTTGATTATAGGTCAAACTGAAAAGAAAATAGTGCCTCAAAAAATCACAAAGTAGTATATCATCGCAAAGTTATTTTGGTTTCACAGAGGTGAAACGGTGATCGCTGAACTGCAAAGAGCAGCTTTTTCGCAATTTATCTCAAATTGACAGAAAGTAGCAGAAGGTTTTTTTTTTTTTCACCTATTCCCATGTTTTGCTGTTGCATCCTTTTGCGTCATTATCCAAGGGGAGCATTTGTACAGAAGTCAAAGTAAGATGGGGAAAACAATTATGCACAAATGTGAATACAGATGAGACCGTCATAAATGTACAACACCGGCAGGCAGCTCCGCTCAGCGGCACCGAATCTAAATGTCACGGGGTGAGTGTCATCTGTTATCAGCTGCGCTCCTCCCATCGCAGATGTTCAGTGGAGTAAAGCATCTGACAACTCCAGAAGGCTCTAATGAAATGATGTCTTGTTTCTGACAGGATGGCCTGCATTTTATATGTGCCACATAATAAATACATATGTTATATGATTTAATTAAATGTTCTAAATGGAGACATATAAGCAGTTAGAACTATAATTAAAAGTTATATAAAGAAACCGCCTGGATTACAGCTGCGACTTGAGATCAAAAAATAATACAGAAAGACAAATTAAGTAAACAGGAAAACGTGAATATAATTAATGGTTTAAAATGATGTATTTTATCAGCAGAAATCCAATCAGTTTATTTAAACCTCTTTATTTGAAGCTTTATTGTCTAATTTACGAGGTTGAATAAAGACAGTGTTAACAAAAGTACAAAATGTCTCCCTTACTGATACAACATACATATGCTGCATGCTGCCATGTCTTTCTGTTACTGTTGTGTTTGTGTTGTCAGAAGATACTCATTTTTATTTGATCTTGAACTGGATTTAGTCAATTAATGTAAATAACCGCATTATGTCGTCTTATGTTAAATGTAGCATCCCTCAAAGGCTAAGTCAAATGTTTGCTCACTGTAGCTTTTTTTTCCTTCTCCTGCATAATCTGTTTGGATATGCAAATCCACGTTTATGAATAGATGAACGTCTGCAGGCAATTCATTCAGTCAATAATGAGGCGTTTAACAGAGTCTGTACTCAAGAAGCATGAAATGTAGCCTCGGCTTTAGCTGCCTGAATGAACTACACCGCAACATTGTCAGTGGTTTCTTTTGATGGTAAAGATCTAAATACTACCAGTGTTCATATGAAGTTAATCTGAGGTGACTTTGTCATATGTTACATTACATTGCATTTAGCTGACGCTTTTATCCAAAGCGACTTACAATACGTGCATTCGACCAACAAGATACAAACTTGAAGAAAACAGAATCATATAAGTACATCAGGTTTCATAGAGCAAAAACATTTCAAGTGCTACTCAACTGGCTTTAGATAAGCCAGTCCTTTATTAATATATAAGTGCTTTGTTAGCAATTATTTGTTAGTAATTCTACAATGTTCTGAGTGCAGCATTTTCAGATACTTCAGCTTTTGTGTTTTTTTAAAGAGAGGCATCAGTGTAAAATAATCTGATCAGATCCTTAATTTAGGTAGAAGTACCAATAACACACTGCACTGCATTTAAATGTATGTTTTTTTTTAACCCAGGACTCCGGGATTGATATAGGCGATATCTCTGAGAGGAAGGCTCTAAGGAAGAGGCTGCAGTGTAAAACTTTCCGATGGTACCTGGTCAACATCTACCCTGAGATGAGGATGTACAGCGACACCATCGCATACGGAGTAGTAAGCCGCCTCCCTCTTCATCCCTAATGCAATTCAGCATCTGCAAGAGCTAAAACGAGTCTAGCTGTGCCTGAGCAAATCATTTTAATCCCTTGTGTTGAAATCTGGGCAGCTGCTGTCAGGAGCAGAAACAGTTCACAGAGAGGAGGTTTACTGCAGCAACTTTGACTTAAAAAATAAATGTCTGCAAGTCTAATGTGACAGATAGATCGAATTACACTCACTTTATATATAGATGTAGTGTTTCCTACTTGATAATTGTATTTGTTTCTATTTGCCCATTTCTGAATATTCTCAATCAGCTTTATGTCCACGGTCCTCCCACCTCTCATCACTGTGGTGCGCCCTAATACACTCTGACACACAGGCCTCAGTACTATGGCACTGCTTTCTATGTTGTATGGAGGTTTTTTTTGATAACAAACGGATGGATGGATGTAGCGAGTAATTAGGATGACCTCATTACATTCATTTCTCCGAGTTAGTTGACCTCATTATTCTACGTTTGCTACATGCATTTGATGGGCTAGTCAAGCGTTGTGGTTTGAGGAGTCGTTACAGGCATCGCCACTTGCATCGATAAAAAACATTTTTGTTGACATCTCTAAAGAATTTGTTCTTATCATTCTTCTACTGATTTTTTTAAAATTGGTAAAGAGAGATGCAGGTGGAGGCTAGCTGTCAAATCTGAAGGTTATTATGTCAGACACGCGTCACATGACAGAAGCTCTGAATGCAGTTTTACTTGAAGCTAATGTTGCCCCCATAGGTGACACTGTGCATGTTTATTATTTGTGTAGTGCCTGTGGCTTTACTGATGATCAGAAAGAGGTAGACTTCTCCTCATCAATTAGGAGCTGAATTAAACCCTGTTTAATAAACCTCTGTTCTTCTGATCTGCTGTCTTTACCTAACACTCCCCATGCAAACCACTATCCCTCGAGCTCCCTGTGGCGCAGTTTGTATCTCACAATCAGAGCTTTGCCGTTAAGTGTTATATTTTCTATTATTGTCTTTTCATATTTGTATTTCCTTTATGTACAGTTCTTTTCAGGCATATCAACATTTTAACTTCATTTTAGCCCATCAATGTTTAAAGATGTTTAATATCCATTTTCCAATTTGTAAGCAACCATTGTCTATTACTTTAACCTGTGCCTTTAAAACACATTATATACCCAAATCTCTTTAATCATCTAGTTGTAAAGCCCATTAAAACTTGGCTTCAAATTGTTCTTCTTAAATGTTGAACATGTATAAAAACCAAGGGAGCGGGGGAGGTAATAAAACATATTTAGGTATTATTTATTAAGAGTTTAACAACCAAAAACTCAACTGATTTGCTTTGTCAGGACTTTGTGTGCCCGCCATATCATATCATGAAATAAGGCAAAGTGTTACAATAGAGTTGAAAATAAGAGTCCACGATTAATTTGAACTGAAAATAGGTGCAACACATTCAAATGATCTACTTGTTCTTAAGAAATAGTTTTGAGAGCATATTATATATTATTATCTAGTAGGGGTGTAACGGTTCACAGAAGTCACGGTTCGGTTCGTACCTCGGTTTGGAGGTCACGGTTCGGTAAGGTTCGGTACAGCAAGAAAAAGCAAAAAAAAGTCCCAAATGCATAATTCTCTTTTTTTAATAATGAACTGTATTAAACAGTTAAAAACAAACCATACACAGTACACTCAGATGGCCATATTATCTATAATGGCTGATGTCAAACAAAAATGTTTCATCAAGCTGTAAAACTAAAAAGAATGTCTTGAAAATATGACATCATAAATAATAAGAAAGTGTTTCAAGAGCGCAAAGTCGTTGAAAAACATATGCCAAAAGCTTCCGTTATTTATTTTGGTCTCTCGGCTCTCATGTCTATTGGCTTATTAAAAACAGAGGGGATCAGCTGTTGAACTGCTGTTGTCTTTTGCCGGGCTCCGGTAAATCTGGGTGATGCCTTCTGATATGATTTAGCATGTTTGGCGTGTGTTACCATTAGCATACCGCACCACTGTAGAACGGCGACACACCGTCCTCGTCCGATCCACCACTCGTACACTCCATCGTTATTGTAGTCCACAAGGAACCCGAAATGTTCCCACACAGCTGATTTAAAAGAAGCAGGTGGGTTCTAGCTCCTGTGTGTTATCTGAAATCGCCATACTAACTTTTCTTCTTCTTGTATTTTGTTCGTTTTGTTGTTGTGTTTCTTCTTGTTCTTCATTTGTTGTTTAAGGGCGGCTGGCAAACAGCTTTTAGGCGCAATACCGCCCCCTGGATTATATATAGTGTAGTGGATACTGCCCTGAATGACAGACTTTTTTCCCACTCATAAAAAAAAAGGCGTATTCGTCGTGTGACTGCGTGTGCCGAACCGTGACGTCCGAACCGTGACGGTACGGGACGAATACGGATACCGTTACACCCCTATTATCTAGATATTATAGCATAAAGAGGTCTATCTTTTGTTTGTATTATTTGTAAAGAAGAACTATCAAGATGTTTAGATGTTTGAGACCTGAATCTTACTTCATATTTGGTCTTAAACTTACTGGATGTGCATTTTCAAAGTTATAAACTATTATTCATATATGTAGTAGCGTAAATTATTACTGATTTTACCCCCAAGGCAGTTATTCTATTTTGTTTCTTCGTATTTATGTGTGTGTGTGTTTGTGACTGCTTGTGTTTTTTCTTTGTCTGCCAGCTGAAGAACTCTCTGAAGAACGATCTGTGTCTGGATCAGGGACCCGACAATGACAACGTGCCCATCCTGTATCTCTGTCACGGGATGACACCTCAGGTTAGAGCCCTCACACTCCGCACCACTTTTTCATGCAGCACACAGCATAAAGCCAGATTTACTGTCACCCTTTATATTTGATTTCCATCTTTTTTTGTATTTTATCAAAACCTGTTCCAACATGATCCAACCAAAATAAATCATTTGCTTTCACCTTGGATCAAACTCAGTAGTACAGTATACCTCACAAACCAGGACCACTTTTTTGTTTATTTCTCTTTACAAAACACTTTGTTTTAACTCACATCCTAACTGAGCCTACCATTTAAAAACATGTCATTCTATTGACATCAGGTAAAGTGAAATCCTGTTTTTGATTTAGTTAGCCTGTACCTGAACATATGTCTCTGTCCCCAGCTTTCTTTATACAGCCTGATAGACTTCAGGATTATTTGAACGGCTTCCTTCTGTTTTTTCATCAATCATGTCTTTAATACGGTGTATCTGGACTGCTTGTTCAGGACATCTCGTGGCCCAAATAATAGGCGGTTTAAGTATCTTCAAATGTTAGCACAGCTTGATTTGATCATTTACTTTCTCCAGCCTCTTCCAGCTCCCATCGATTCCTCTGTTCCATTATGTCTGGGAAGATTGTTTTCAGAGATTGTTTAACCTTGCCGTGACAGTTGTAAACGTGTCTTATAGAGTGAGGCTTGATCCCACATTATCCCTTTGGATTTAAATAAATCTATTGGATGTTTCACACTCATTACGCCTTCTATTGATATTTGGACCATAGTGCAAATTAAAACTAATTCAGGAGAAATCTGTATAATATTATGCAAACTTTGTAACACTTCTCCCTTAGTAAAATCAACTTCTGCAGCCTTTCTCAGACCCAGATAAGTTTAAAACGTACTTATTATACATCTGTTTTATGCTATAAATCTCTCGTAAATCCAGACATTTCAAACAAAGGATTGGAGTAGCACCGCCGTCCCTAATGAGATTAGGGATCTCCTCTGCAAGACAAATCTCGTCTGCTCTATTTTCTTGTTTCAGTGTTACATCATCTAGAGGAATTAAACCCTGGATTGCGTCTGTAATGACACACATACTGTACATAGCAAATGTTTGCTGGAGTAAGTGAAAATGTCACTGGCTTTGAAAGAGCTGCACTTTGTATCCAAGGTTCAGCGGTGAATGCAGTACATCAGCGTGCTCAAAGAAAATCGCACAGCCACACATGAAAGGAAAGGGGAGTACAAAGCTTACATTCAACACGGGTTGACTTTACAAAAGCATGTAGTCAGCAAACACACCGTACAGAGCTTCTGCTCATGTAGTAATAAAACATACCGACTTAAGCACAGCAACAAAAGAAAGCACAGTCAAACACCGCCTGGCAGGCTGTGCTGCTCCAAGAATGAGCAGTACAAATAAAATGTTCCCACTCGTCAGACTGTTTCACGTCTGGTGAGAAGGAGGCAGAGGGCTTTTGGGAAATATGAGACAAATAAGAGAAGAGTAAAAGTAAGAACAGCAGCTGTGTAGGCAAATATGGCCCTGCTCTTTTTGTTTTATTAAAATATAATATATTGAGGTGGATTACAGAAGATAACATCATAACCCAAGTCCCATGCACTCTGCGTATGAAATGTAAGAACCTCCACAGACAGTCTTAATTCTCTGCTCTGAAATCTAGCTTCCCTGTACTCTTGTTACACAAACTAATGTATGTGGCATCCTTTGTTTAAGGTTGCTAGTTGCAGAAGGAATACTGAGATCCGTTACTCAAATAAAAGTAGCAGTACAACAATGTGGTTATATTCAGAGTAGAAATCCTTCATTGAAAATTCTTTCTGGCTGCCATGTTGCAAACTGCTCAGACCTAGAACAAGAGGCAGTCGGTGGGGCAAGGCCAGATCCAGAGTTCCTCAGTGAGGGAGAAAGAGTAGATATGCTTTCTGCCCCTTTTCAGAATTTCTTTTTTATGTGGGAAACCCATGTGAAATAAAATATGAATCACAGCAAAGTGTTTTCACATACTTTCAAATGTGTCTAGAGGCAGGGGCGGACTGGCCATTGGGAATACCGGGAGTTTCCCCGGTGGGCCGGTGCTGTGTGTGGGCCGGAGGGCCAAAAAAAAAAAAACACATTTGTAAGTGTTCCGGCCACTCCCTTCTTTTTTTTTGCTTACCTAAATCCTACCGGCCCACATTTGTAAGTGTTCCGGCCCAGCCCAGCCCAGCCCAGTGGGGTGTGGCCAGGGTTGGGTTGTAACGGAATACATGTAACGGTGTTACGTAATCAGAATACAAAAATCAAGTAACTGTATTCAGCTCGCGTTACATTTGAAAAACGAGTAATCTGATTACAGTTACTTTCGTAAACCTGAAGTGAATACATTTTGGATTACTTATTGGAATTATTGATGGAAAGATTTCCTCACAACATTTAATATTCATTACTAAAGGTACAGCCGAATCATCACAGCGCACAAAACCGCGCAGATGGACCAAAAAGGGGAGCGTTTGAAAAAAATGTGCGGGTCCGCTCAGTGAAACAATAACAACGTAACATGGAGGAACAAAAGTCTGCGTTTAAATCGTGTGTGTGTGTGTGTGTGTGTGTGTGTAGAGGTGTGTGTGGTTAAAACACATCAGCCACACCGCTCTTTAGCCTTTCTAATGATTCTGAAGGTAAACACAGTGAAGGCGGTGCGTGAAAGGCGGTGCGTGAAAGGCGGTGCGTGAAAGGCGGTGCGCGCTCCTCTTCTCAGAAGCTGAGTTAACCCTCCCGCTGCCTCCTGGTGCTGCAGAGATGTCATGAAGTGAAGGAGGTTTTCTTTCTATAAAACAGCTGCGGGCAGCAGATACTGTGAGGGTCACAGACATTAATACATAGATCAAGGCAGACTGGTGCACACACTCTCCTGTTTTGCCAATCCGGTGCTTAAACAAATATAGCTCTACACCCCTGGCCGAAATGTCCTTAAAATGAATTCCGAGTTCGACATTTTAATTCATGTCCTGCCAACACTGGCAGGACAGAAGGCGACACGCCCTTTCTAAGCCATGTCCTCACATCCCAAGCTTTATCCCCAAAAGTTTATTATGTTGTTACAACAGGGTTCAGGGGGAGTGGCTGTACCCATAGGATAGAAAAGGGGGAAGTGACGTCTGACTCAGAGGTTGCGCGGCTGTGGAGAAGAACGTGTTGCCCACTTTCTGTTACTGAGTTTAGGCTAGTTAGCTAGCAGGTTTATTGTTTTGGGTGCAGTCACTTTTGCCTCCACTTGCTGTTCAAATAAATGTTGAAAGAAAAAGTTAATCTGTTTACAGTTCTGTTTTATATGGGTGTTGAAGAAGAAGAAGAAGATTTTTGATTTGATTTTTAAAACAAATTTTATTTGCATTTGTTTTAAACATACACCCACCCTGCAAAAGAGTCGGAACAAAACTAATACATTACACAATCAAATAAATAAATAAACAGATTTTCATGACTACCAAATAAATATCATTTGAAAACCCCATTTGAAAGCGTTTTACCCATTTAAAAACATCCTCTTTTACACACTTTAAAAACAAAAACTACACCTATCCTTTAAAACTTCAATATTAGAGAGTCATTCTCCCCCAGCGAGCACAGAACCTGCCCAACAGCCCACACATCCAGAAACCCCTGCAGATGATTGATCAGTGTATAGTACGCATGCTCCACCCTCAGACGCGCTGCCACCAACCCCCTCAGACAGAGCACTGCATCCGTCCATCCCACTCCAGCAAGTTGGTTCTTCCTACTTTTCCAGATTGCTAATTTTGCATTAGCAAACAAGAAATTCATCAATAGTAGGGTTTCTTTCTTTTTCAGGATGTATTTGGGGCCATGGACAAAAAGTGGTATGGAGAAAACCTCCCCGAACCCTTCCACCCACCCCTGTAACATTTTTGTAAGACCAGCCAATCGGGGACAGGACACGACTAAATGCTCCAATGTTTCTGCCATAAAACAGAACGGACAGCCTCCCCTTGTGCCTGGGTCAAAATGAGCTCTGTATTTGTTAGTGGCTATTGCACCGTGTATAATTCTCCATTGGATGTCAGCCATCCTTTTCTCAACCGGAGATTTATACAGGATCCGCCAGCTGCCCTGAGGGGAAGAGCCCAAGCCAAACACATCCGTCCACCTCGACTCTCTGACGCCTGCGAGCGAGCTGAGGTTTAACACCTTTACACAGCTAAGGTATAGCTTCTTCCCATTGCAGGAGGTGAACTTTGCAGGTGTTAGAGTCCCCAGTGATAGCAGGAGACCATCCTCCTCTCTCCATTCCCCCACCGCAGGACCCACACTCAAGGCAGGAAAAACATAATCATGTCCCTTTCTCCACTGGTCAGCCAGATCTGCATCCAGAGCAAAAGTCCGGTGGGATGGCGACAGCGACTGCCACACCTCATCTACCAAGTTCTCCAGAACTCGGGTTGATCGAATGCCCGTCACCTCAGCCAGTTTTTCTGTGGAGACCCCCGTCAAATGGCCAAGTTTTACCACTCCCGCTTCAATTAACGCATTTTTTAGGGTGGCTGAAGAGAAAAGGGTTCCAGAAAGAAAACCAGTGTCAAACAGTGGTTCCTCAAACAGCCACATCCCAGGCCGGGGGTCAGGTGGTCTGGTAAAACTCAGAATCTTCCAGGCATTGATGACTGAGCAGTAAAAAGGTGTAAGTCCAGTTATCTTGTACGCAGGGGCCTTCAGCAGAAACAGGTGTTTATCAAAACCAAAGCCCCCTGCCCTCCAGAGCAACAGCCGGGCCATAGCCAGCCAGCAGGGAGAGGCACCATACAGCAGCCGCTGAGCTGCCTGCAGTCTAAAAGCAGCAGTCCTTGCAGTAATGTCCACGAGGCCCTGGCCCCCCTCCGCCACAGGCAGGTACAGGACCGATGCTGGCCCCCAGTGATGACCCGACCAGAAGAAATCCACGAGGAGCCGCTGCAGCTGTTTCATGAGGCCCGGCGGTGGGGTTAACACCTGGAGTCTGTGCCACAGAGACGAGGAAA